GTGCGATCCCTAGCTCACATATCCCTTTTTCGCATCTCCCAGTAGTAGACTTCATCCAAAGAAGAGAATACGAAAAACACCAAAAACACCGACGTAAAACTATTGGGAGAAAGAAACTTTCAAAAACTCGGCGTATGGGTTTAGGGATGCATCTGCTAGTGCGTCGGGCTATTGCACAAAGAATTGCATCAATTGTGTTTTTACTCGTTTTACCTTGCGAGATGGGTTGCAGTCGACGTATGTGCTCCTAATGAATAAAATGTGATAAAGGGAATGTGATAAAGAGCAGAATTAGTTATGGGCACAAGCGCGGTCAGCAAAAAGGACATGCAATTCCGATTAATCCCGCCGCCCCAACAAAGAACAACTGAGCGGCCCTCCGTCAGAGGGCATCTAGCAAGTGGGCGGTCCAACTGAGCGGGCGTTAGAACTAGGACTTTCAACAGCTGTGGCACGCTCCTCGCGCGATGTAGTCGCCAGAGTGGGACAGTCTCTTAGCTTGGGGCTGTACTATTTGCACAAGGAGGACGACCAGAAGTTATTTGAGCGCAAGGGCTGTCTTTAAATTCTCCGCAACTTCCTATCACTTTTCCGAGAAAGTTGCCAATCTTTCCCCAAAGAAAACATAGCGCACTTGAAACGGGAAAGTATGGGAAGTCAACGATGCGAAATATTCCTCTCAAAGTTGTATACGACCCCCTTCCCTCCCTCCAGCGACCAAATACGACCCTTCCTCGCTGCCCTCGATTGGGATCCCCAATGTACGACGGGCCCGTGAAACGGCAGTGTGTTCACGTCGAAGTAGCGGGCGCAGTTTGGCAACAGGGAAGGGGGAGAGAGGGAGGGGAGGCATTTAACACTTTTGCTTTCAGTAGATGTGTCGAGCCATCAAGTGGAGACCTGTGAAATCTTGTGAAGACACGAAATGATCCCAGTCAAAGTTTATGTCAACTCTTGTAGAGCAATGAAGTACCATACAAACACCATTTGCCATGAGAGCTCGACGAGCTTGTTCCAGCTTCACGAGTGTTCACACGGAGCGAAACTTGTAAGCGGAACCAGTGAATGCAAAACTCCCTACCCTTCCCCCTCCACCGCCTGTCGCCAAACTGCCCTGAGATAACGCGCTCCACTACGGATTCTGCGACGCTGCCGCCTGTTCTTTCTATGTCTACGCCCCAAGCTTTTCGTGGTGGGACCGTGGTGGAACTTCAAGCGTCGTCAGCGGAGGGCGGCTTTTTCGAAAATTTTCTTGGCCAGTTTCGTAAGATTAGATTCGAAATCATAAATGTTATGCTTCTGAAAAGCTCATCGACTAGTCTTAGCTTGACGTCAGTCACATTCCAGGACATTTTTTTGTGTTTTTTAGTTGCTTCGTTGGTGTTGTCCCTTTTCAGTTCTTTTTTCGCTTGAGACATTTTTGATGTCTGATTCTACTTGCGTACGGAATGAAATGTGCAAAGTATTAACTAGCCTTTCTTCATTACTTCGTTTCTTTTACGGCGTCGCTTGGTGCGTTAAGTCAAATTCGTAAAGGTCAACAGCAACCATGACCTTGCTTGTCTGCGTTTTTTTTTCTAGTGGTCTTTTTGTTTCCTGTCGTTTTCTGCTTGATAATCTTAAGCACAACATATAGAAATATCCGTGATGTTAAATGCTTAGAACCATTTGATCGCGTCTTCCTACTTCATCATACTTGATCGTTGCTTTCTTTTACTTTTCCTTTCACTTGAATGGTTTTGTTGCGTACTTTAAATACGGCAAACGCATATTTTATTATAGCGCTGCATTTGCTCTTTGAAGACAAACACCGCGGTGCATATTGTGAATAGTGACGTTCAGTTGCAAATCTGTAGTCGCTAAATGACTCTCCAGGGAAGAAAAAAGCAAAAAAATCATGGCACCTCAAGGACGTCAGTGTACGAGTTCTTCAGACTTGCTCGTTTTCACGTCAACAAGGGGAAATCCTACCACTTCTGGCTCACTAATCGTCCAAGCTAAATACCATCTAACAGTAAAAAAAAGCGGAGAACGTGGTGCAAAAACTGAACTCGTGACAGAAAATAGTCTTCGCCTTTGAGGGGAAGGGGAGGGGTTGATGCGAGAACTTCCACT